GACCTCGGGTCTGCCCCCGTTACCTGCGTTTTGCTGGAGGGTGGGGAGCTCAAGCGCTTCCTGCTTGATCTTCTCCGGCGTCATCAGCTTCTCTTTCTGCAGCTTCTTCTTCTCTGCGGCGGCTTTCTTTGCTTCCAGCTGTCTCTGCCGGCAGGGCTTTGCCGCCTTGGCGTTTTGGTTCTCCTCGCTGCCAAACTCATCCGTGCTGGACATCTTGTAGAGGGGGAGGACGTGTAGTTGCTCATCTTCAGGGATCTTCCCCACCACACGATTGTCTTCCTTCGTCAGCGTGCAGACCTGGGGGAGTGCAGAGAGCCATCAGCAGGACACTGACGGATGTGGCTCATGTGGGACAGGGACAAAATCTCCTCCTTATACCCCACCGATGCGAAGCCACGCCAGCCTGGCATCCCCCCCAGCCCGCACCGGGCCCCAGTTGGCATTCCGAAACCTCCTGCGGGGTTTGGGTTGGACAAAACTCAATGTATGGTCCTCGTTAGCACTGTGCTTTCGTCTAGCTGGGGTGGCTTCAGCACCCCACACACCTGAACGGTTTCATCTGAGGTGTGCAAACACCGAGGACCAGCCACTGGAGTCATGCAGGTAGGACGGTTGGGGACAGCGGGGACCGAGTAGCTCAAAAGGAGCATCCCAAAAAGCCCCCCGGGCCGCCTGCTTACCACCGTGCAGCCGTTGTAGAGGTTATGCTGATCTTTGTGAGCATGAGCGCAGAAGTCCATGCACGCCGTCACTCCCGAGAACGGCCTCCCCTCCTTCAAGCCCAGCCGGCAGTCTATCGCGATGTCCTCGTTGGTAACCTGGCGGAAGGAGGAGGGGGCTCTGGTTATCCGAAATCTCCACCCTGCACCCGTTTCTGCCTGCCACCGGGCTGGCGTGCTCCAAAGGGGACAAGCGAGTGGCCGGTACCTGGTTTTGGTAGGCCTGCGGCGCCAGCCTCTTGTAAAGCGGAGCAACCTCGGTGGCCAGGTCCTGAAAGCTTTTCCGGAGCAGCTCTTCCTGCGGTAGCAAAAAGAGAAGGATGTCATCCAGGGGTTCCGGCAGTGGGGACGCAACTGGGGTCAAAGCCCCCTGCAACGCCACGTGGCACCCGACCCTTCCCACGATGTCCCTCACCGCCCAAAGCACGCGGCTTAAATTCCTGGTGAGGTTTTGGCTGTTCAGCCTCCAGCCCCAGCACCTGTTGTGCTTTCTCTTGCTCAATCCATGAGCCCTCTGGGATCTTCCTTGGGGTTTCTAGAGACAACCCATTTGTGTCACCCTGTACCAGCACTTGCTGTCCACTAAAAGTCCTGGCTTGGGGACACCAAGGCGAGCCTGCCCTCTAGTTTCACCAGGTTGGCTTTCTTCCCCCCCCCGTCTCCCTAATTCATCAAAAAACCCACGAGGAATCCTATTTTCAGGCTTCCCCCCTGCAAAACTCAGAGCTGGGGGTAAAAGGAGACCCGCCTGTGTCACCCACCTCTTTGGGATTGTCCCCCACCAGCCTGAACTTGCGGGGAGTTTTGCTCCGGGCGTATTTGCAGCCATTAAAATACATGCTCCAAGAGCAGCCGAAGGAGAAGGAAGCGCCGCAGGTGTTGGGGTCCTTGCCTTGGCACGCGCAGGTCCGGCTGCGGGAGGGACACCGTGGAGGAGCGGCAGCCGCCGGCACGGTGATGCCAGCTCCAAAAACAGGGGGGATCCCCGCATCCCCTTCCCACCTCGTCTCCCCAAACCGGACCGGCGGCGCAGTCTCCTTTGCTCGTCGTTAAAGCCGCAGCGGCGGCTGGTGGGGTTGCCGTACTTGGTGAGGGTGTCAGTGAGCTCCTGGTACAGCGTGTCGCCCAACGTGCGTGGGATGCCCTCCCAGGCCAGGATCAGGATGATGATGACAGCGTTCTGGCAGTGGTGGCCGGCGCGGTGCCCCACCAGGCACAGCAGTTTCTCCTCTTGGTTGTGTCTCCGGATCACCTGGAAAACAGAGGAGCCACGTCAGACCGCTCCAATGGCGAACACCTCCTGGGATGGGGGAGACCCTAAAAGCGGGTGCTGGCAACACTCGGCAGGGATCTGGGGGGGCAGAGCTGGGGGGGCTCCCATGGTCGCATCCACTCTGTGGACTTTGGGGTGCTGGGGGGTTGACGTGCCCATCCCAGGGGCTGCAGGCACGGACGGGCTGTTCGGTGGGTGCTGAGGACGGGAAGCCCCGTGGAGGTTCCGTGGGGGCGGCCGACACTCTCACTTCCTCCTTGCCAGCCGCAGACCGAGCATCCCGCCCCTGCCCGCTGCGGCCACTGCCGGCAGGAGACCTTCTCATCCCCAGGCAGGGAGGGGAAAGGCAGGAGCATCACCCCAGGGAGGGCTCCGAGGGCGGATGAGAGCCGGGGCCACAGGCACTCACCCACTTGGCGATGGGGCAGCCCCGGGAGCTCTTCCCCTCCTTCCCCGTGTAGATGACCTTCTCGATGCGGATGGCCTTGCCCTTCTCGCCATACCTGCCAGGGGACAGGCGTCAGCCCTGCTTGTCCCCACCACGCTCACGAGTTCCCCCTGCGTGCCCTCATGGGCCCCTCACAAGCCCCCACTCTCCTCATGGGACCCCACTCGCCCTCAGGAGCCTCCGCTCACGCTCGCAGGATGCCACTCTCATCTTCATGGGACCCCACTAGCCCTCACCAGGCCCCGACTCGCGCTCATGGGACACCATTTGCCCTCATGGGACCCCATCCACCTTCACAGGACCCCACTCACCCTTACAAGCCCCCCCTCACCCTCACAGCCCCCCAGGACAGGATGGCATGGGGTGAGGGCCCTTACCGCTCCTCCATGAGCTCCCTGATGGACGCCACGGTGGGCCCAGAGCCCAGGTGGGTGTAATACGGCCCCTCATCCTTCTCCACGATTTGCTCTGCAGAGGCAGGAGGGGGGGAACAGAGATTTCAGGGTTTGCCCCTGCCGCTGGCTGCCCCGAAGGATGCTAGACCCCCGAATTCCCTCAAATTGAGCACTTTTGCACCAAAAAACAAAGGTTCCTTGGCAGAGTTTCCCCCTAAGAGCATCAGGGAAGGAAAGCTGCAATTAGAGGTTCGTTAAACAGCCTGCCGGCTTCTCTTCATTTTCTCCTCCCAGCACTACAACACCGCTGGGGATCGAGGGGATGGGTGCTCAGACCCCCACCCTTCAGGGACCCAAAAACCTCCCCGAGGGGCTGCAGCCCCTCCCAGCATCCCAGCAGCAACTGCGGCTCCCTCCTTGTCACGGGGG